GGGGGTTCACCTGTGTTCAGCAGTGGACTGTAACAGGCTGTAACCGTAACGGTATAACTAAGGTGAGATGTTACTGGGGAGGTCGTCTTTATAATTTTAATTTACTAAAAGCACCGTTTAAAATTATTAATAAAGGTATTCGTTTTCCATTCCATTACTGCCTATATAAGTCCACTGCTGAAAAAAAGGTTTCAGTGTTTTTTTTTGTTTTAAGTGTGCTTTAATAATGTTGAGCTGTTATCAGGAAGATTCTGCTGTCCTTCTCCTGTGTCAGTTTCCCTCCGTCATCTCCTATGACCCTCACGGGACACTATGGGACAGTGGATATTCTTACATCGACCAAGTAGAAATTTAAAGTAAGCAAAAAAAATCAACCATTTAGTTGATTTTTTTTGCTTACTTTTAAATTTCTACTTGGTTTTCTAAGCGAATACGACATAAACTGTTTTTAATCCAACTGGTATGCGAAGGCATTTCATCCTGCAAAGAGAGGGAAATTGAAAATAAAGTGAAAGTGGTCGTAGAGTTACAACGACCGTATAAAGGCGGCGTAAGAATATCCACTACCTATATTATCCTACGGGTGTCGTAAGAGGCGACAGTTTTTCTACTAAGAACTAAAAATTAAAATAAAACTCCGGTTTTCCAACCCGTGCGGTCAAGCGTGGCAGTTATTGAAAATATCCCCTCCAGTGAGGCAATCTATGCGAGAGGCCTACGTTCAACCGAGGACTTTTGATAGCCTGTTACGGTAATGGTACAATAATAGTTCTATCTAAGCTGGGCTGTTTACTCGTACAATAATTCTAACATAATATTATGTTGCCTGCTTTCTACACTTCTTTGCACTTTATTTACGATGAGAGTATCAATCAAGTTGACTAAAATTCAAGATATGTAAAAGTCCAATAGCTTTTAAAAATCTGAAAGCTTGCTGCAAACTTTCATATATATCATATATTCTCGAATTCTTATATAAGAAACGGTTACTTTATTTGAACAAATGAATAAAATGGAAGTGTCCGTTTGTAGTGTAAAAATAAAAGTTTTTACAAAATGCATATAAAAGCTAATACGAGACTTATACCAAAAAAAACAATTTACTGAATATTTTTGTCTGTTTGTTCCGGCTAATTTCCAACATGACTGGACTGATTTTGACGGGACTTTCACTGGTAGAGAGTTGATGTTATAATGAGTAACATAAGCTAATTTTACTCGGGTATAAGATAGTTCCGCGCAAAAATATCAAAACCCATGATATCCAGTCGTAACAATTACGACGCAGATGAAGTCACAGGGAGCAGACAGTATATACAAAATCATATAACATATATAAAATCGCCCTTTAGAAAATTCTCTGAAACTGTTTCATTTCAAATTTAACTTTTTTAGTAGAGCTGTGCAACCGCCGTTAATTTTTATTTTATTTATTTATTCACTACTCAGGTAAATACACCCATTTTGTTATTACTCTTAAAATTAACAGAAATTATAGTCATAGTCATTTATTCCTTAGAACAATATTACATTGTATTGGAAAATTAATTAAACAAAATCAGAAATTACGTTTACATGCAATTGACTTAAATAAAACAAAAATCGAATAAAATTTAAATATCATTTGACAGTCATTCTTTATACTTATATACATTCAATACTTTTCATGTCATAATTAAATATTTTTCATGTCATAATAGATTAAAATATAGTACATAAACAAAAAAAAATTAACATTCATTAAGTTTATTTTTGTCATTTAGGTATTCGTCAACTGAGTAGTAGCTTTTCTTAATTAATAATGATTTCAGTTTATTTTGGAATTTTCGGTGGCAATAAATAACTTTAAATGAGATAGGTAAAGAATTAAATAGTGCAATGGCTTGATGCCTTGTGCTGTGGCGTACAACATTCAAAGTTGGTGTAATTGAAGTTTTTAAATCTTTTCGACGTGTCATTTCTCTCTTTTTCCTTTCTTCGTTTGTTTCATATTTGTAAAAATTTTTTTACTAAGTATGTAAGTGAAACTAAGATATACAGAGAGGGAACCGTAAGTATGTCAAGTTTTCGAAAATGTTCTTTACACGACTCAATTTGTGGAATACGTAACATGGTGCGGATCGCTCTTTTTTGTAATACAAACGCTTTCTTAATATTATATTTATAACTGTTGCCCCAGAATTGTATGCTATAACGAAGTTGTGATTCTACTAGAGCAAAATAAACCAACTTAAGCTGCTTTAACGTAACTTCGTCTCGTAAACTTCTTAAGGCATAGCATGCTGAACTGATAGTAGATTCTAGTGCTGTCATTTCCTTTTTCCAGTTCAAGTACATGTCAATGTGGATTCCTAGAAATTTTACTGTTTGAACAGATTCAATATTTTTACCGTCAATGTTAATGTTTATTGAGTCCTTTTGTCTTGCTGTAGATTTGAAAAGCATTGCGTACGTTTTATTTGTATTTAGTAGTAGATCGTTAGTAGCAAACCAATTTTTAAAGTCATACAGTGTGCTTTTCATTTTGGCATTTAGTTCGTCTATCGAGTTAGCAGATACAATCGCGTTTGTATCATCCGCATAAATAGTTAACTTTACGTCTTGCTGTTTGGTATGTATGTAAGCAGTTAAATCATTAATGAATATTATAAATAATATAGGTCCCAAAATGGAGCCTTGTGGAACACCCTTCTTTAAGGTTTTCAATTTAGATTTGTATATCGTTTCAACGCCGTCTATTATTGTTTTAATCTCAACAAATTGTTTTCTATTTGATAAGTAGGATTCAAATAACCTTAAGATTGAGCCTCTAACTCCGTAATGTTCCAATTTCAGTAGTAGTATATCATGATTTATCGTGTCAAAAGCTTAACTCAAGTCTAAAAATAGACCTCCTACCTTATATTTATCATTGAGTCTACATACTACATCATCGACTAGCGTATTTATAGCATCTATAGTACCTACACGCGTTTGATAACCAAATTGCCTCTCACTTAATATATTATTTTGTCGCAAATGTGCTACTAGTCTTACCTTTATCAGCTTTTCATAAATTTTAGATAAAATTGGTAGCAAGGAAATCGGTCTATAGTTTTTGGGGTCCATTTTACTTCCCTTTTTATGTACCGGAAGTACTCGTGCAACCTTAAGCTGATCAGGAAACAGAGATTGTTCCACACACTTATTGAAAAGATAAGCTAAAGATTCAGCCAATATATCAATATTATCTTTAATAATCTTGATGGGTATTTCATCATAACCATGTGATCTTTTATTTTCCATTTCCTTAACTGTTTTTAAAATTTCATGGCTAGTAATAATCTTAAAAGGCATGTCTGTTACAATTTTCTGCACACTTTGTTTGAGAATCAATTGTGCGGAGATTGTATCACTAGCGTTTTTGCTTAATGAATTAGTTTCACTAAAATGACTTGAGAAAACATTTGCTACATCCTGTTTATTACTTACGATGTTATTGTTTACCTTTAGTAGTATATTCTCTTCTTTTTTTACGAAACGAATTTTTCCTACTTCCATTTACAATATTCCAGATTTCTTTATTAGAATTTAACGCCGACTCAATTTTTCTTTGTATAGCTATTTGTTTTGCTTTTCTCAATATTCTTCTATATATCTGTATATATGACCTTTTATATGTATCTGCAAACACTCCATTACATATTTTAACATTTAATGTCAGAAACCTTTTCATTTTACTTGAAACCCTAATACCTTTAGTGATCCACTGTAATGTATTTTTTTAGGATGTATTTTTCTCGTCCTTTTCTTATAACAAGTTTTGAAAGTGTAACTTAATTTATTGAGAAAAGAATTTATTCCTAAATTGTGCCAATTTATTTTGCTAATTTGTTTTCTAAATTCTGCTGAGTTGTGGTCACTTAAAACTCTACGACTAATTTTGATACTTTCATTCATGTTACGACTCAATTTATTTTCCAATTCTACTGTACAAAATAAACCAGCGTGACCGTCTGCGAGACCATTATGCTCTACTCTACTGTCAATATTTGTTGCATCTATATTAGTAATTACATTGTCAAGACAAGATGTTACATCATTGCGCAAAAAGGTTGCTGAGTCAATTAAATATTTGAAATTATAACAAGTCAACAAGTTCAAAAATTCATTTTTTTTGTTTATCATTGTTCAATAAATTAATGTTGAAGTCACCGCACAATATAAATTTCTTATTAAAAAAATGTTCAGAAAATCGCTCTAATCTTTCCATAAAAAGATCAAAATTTTTCTGTATAGGATTTCGATAGCAACAACAAACATAAATATGTGAGTTTAGGTCTTTAACACCACAAATTTCAAAATGTTCAGATTTATATAGTTTTTTGCAAAAAGGCATCTTCCTCACATTTAACATCATTTAAACCCAATATCATCGAACCACCTCGTATTTTGTTTGTTCGGAAATTGTAAGCTACTAATTTATAACCTTCTAATTTAAATATAGGAGCTGAAACCTCATTTAAGAAATGTTCACAAAAACAAACGTATTGTACCTCAGATTTTACAGAACTGATATACAGTTCTATCTCATATTTTTTATTTGTTACACCACAGACGTTTTGATAGAAAACATTCATAGTTTTTTTTTTGGGCAGCTGACTTATTGTATTATTATTGACGAAAAAGCGAAATGCAACTCTGAGGCGGAATATCCTCAGTTTGAGTGCCTGCAGTGCACTTCATATTATTAGCTGTTTGAATTACAATGCAAGGAGCATTTGCCCTCATAGTGTTATTATTATTATTATTATTCGAGCTGCGTAGTTTGGTTATAAAGTTAATATAGTTTATTTTATATGTCACTCTCAATATTTCACGAAGAATTAGTTGTGCAGCAGTATTTAAATTTTTATGCCCATGACCATCATTATGAGCATTATTATACATCAAGGGCACAAAAAGACGCATGACTGAAGCTTTTACAAATCCACTGAACTAGGTTATTTAGTTTTATTTCATTAAAATAATATTTTTTTTTGAATTTCACATACAACAACATTTGTACATTTAATTTGGTGTAACGTATAATACAAAAATGATTGCAATTCCATTAGATCATTATCATTTGAACCACCAAGTATAATCACATAATCCTCCTTAGTAAAGTCCATGCAGAGAGTATTACATGAATTTAATAATTCATTCAACTTTGCATTCGGCTTTAAAAAACATGTAACATGATAATCATTCCCTAGTAAACTTTGTAATTTGCTTCTCAAACCGCGACCTGCTTGATCTGACAATATCATGACTCGATGTTTGATGTTTTGTTGAGTGTGTGAAGTTCGAGTTCCGTTGAGCGAACTTGCTATAGCGCCACGTGACCTCACGCAAGGTGTATCATTTATACCCGAAGCAGTGTTCTTAATCGGTGTGCTGTTTTGTGTATTTGAGATAGATGCCATCCCTTCAATCGGTTTGTAACAGCTTTGAAGGTTATCGAAACTTTTCGAGAAAGTACTATTAAGCTGCAACTTAATAGGTTTTGCGGATTTAATCAACTGGGGAGAAGCTAAACCTCCTAAAGATTTATATACTGAGTTTATTTTTCTATATTGTGGTGAGTAAAATCTTTTTGCTAAACCAGTTGAATTTCTTCTAAGGCCTTCTATCCCAATAGTTTTGTAGAATTGTAATTTATTTTCATAGTTCTGCAACTTTTTTTTTAACGAATTATTTTCAAGATTTAAGTTATCAATCTCATTGTTTGCCGTTATTAACTCCTGAGTCAATTTTTCTATAGTAGATTTTAAATGTTCAACTTCCGTAGAATCTAATGTACCAATACAGGGCAGGCTTTGATATGTGTTATCGAGGAAGGATTCATCACTCATTTGATTGTATAATCTGGTTTTATTTCTTTGTGTTATGTTGTCATAGTCTTCCTCCATTTTTGTGTAGAATTATTTTTTTTTTATTTGCGCCCTCTAGTGTCAAAACGTCGTGAGACCGTCGTATAAGTATTATTTATGTCAATTTATTCATGGAGTCGTTTGTTTAATAACAGATGGCGTTCGTATTTTTTACGTTTATTATTTACGTTTTTATGACTGCAGCACCAATACGTCGGCTCGATCGGAGAGGGTGAACTTTCGAATAATTAGCATAAAAGGCATTAAAATATTGCTGTGTTTCGTATATAACAAGGGATTCCCTCAGATTTTAGAAGTGACAACAAATCTGCATTTTGATTCCTCGTCGATGATATACGTAGGTGTATATAAACCTAGGCATCCATCCGCTTACCATCAGGTGGGCTGTATGTTCGTTTGTGGGTGACCTTACTTGTATAAACAACTTTAGTTATTATCTGCACAATCATATTTCTTAATCCTATAGAAATTTTATACAATACAGGAAATCAATATAAGTGCAGGTCATCCAAACCTAAAACAAATAATTTGTAAGTCCGGAAACATTGACTTTGGTGAGGCTTCGATCCCACCTGCCGTGATTCAAAAAGAATATTAGCAGATAGCTTTTCTTGTATAGAATAAGGATGACAAACGAGCACAAAGCCAGTCCATGATAAGTGGATTCTGTGGCCCAGAAACATCTACATTTATCCTCGATTAAGAATAAAAACGTAGATGCGTTGCCACCCCTGAGAACTAAAATGGAATGCCTCGTTTTCAGTAAAAAAAGGTCTTCGGATCTCTACACTCACCATAAGAAACACAGCAGTATTAAGCAGCTATTTTACGCTAGTATTCTGTGAGAGCGTGGTCCTTCACCGGTCGAGCCGATCCATTCATGCTAAGTTAATAATATAGCTGCAGCGTGTCTCTACCACGTAGGAAAAGCTTAGCGATTGCTTATATTTACGTGAAAACTACACAAAGTAAATTGGAGTTGGCTTTTGTTAAATATGACTTCAGGACGTCAATCAAACGTCGGGAATCGATGAAATCTGCAAAATTTTATTTATTTAAGTTGCCTTTGAGTCACAATTATCGCGTATATCACACAATAAGTATCAATGCAGATTTTCATAGGGAGATCGGAAGAATAGACTTTCCACAATAATTTATAAAAGCTCTATCAATCAAACGCAAACCGTACAACCCTCTAGTTAGAAAACATTTTCGGATGCATTGGCACGTTTTAGTGGGTTTTGGACTTATCGATGAATAATAGATGCACTGGTTTCGTTCCCCAGACGAATTACTGAACTAAACTATTGAGCACGCCACTTCTGACCGTCAGCGTAACTGATAAATGGTCTATTGTTTGCAAACACAGGGTAGAATGGGGCGTGCGAACAAGATAGTGAAAAGTAGGTTATATTTAAAATATTAAAGTAAAGTAGTAGTAAAGTTAAAAAGCATGTAAAGCTGTTAGTCCTGTGCCTGATCTCTCTCCGTTCTTGTCGGATAACCATCAGACTCTCATAGAGTGAAGGAATAGAGAGTGCACCTGAGTGCACTTTTACATACACTTAGGCATTATAATCCTGCCCTGCGGCAGATGCAAATGAATGTTTTCAATAGTTTTTCCTCAATAAAGAAATTATTATTATAATAAAGTTGATTCAATAACGGCATACTAGATATAGTGAAAAAATACTTTTTATTAAAAACCGGCCCGACGTGTAAAGTTACATCAACAATTAGTGACTTTTATGATTAAAGTGATTGATAAAAAGTTGCTCCTGAATCTCATTGATACCTGCAATCAATTTCATAAGACAAAGATGGAATACCTTACAGCCTGTAATTTTACTGTATTTTTTAACTTTCAAATCGGCACACGGAGGTGCACGTACTGCTATTTGACAGCAGGAATAGGTACGATAATGGCACCCACTCAAATGGACTCCTAGGTAGAAAAAACTCTTATCAGTAAGTAGTTAGTATGTGTATCTCTAAGAGATGCTGTAATGGACACTATGGCAGGTTTTTGTTTAATGTTGTTACGAGCTTGAGGTTCGTGACAATAAAAATTGCCGATAGAATTACCTAAATTAACACTTTAATTTTCTTTACACCAATTAAAACTTAAAACACTAATAATTAATCACACTGATTCACTTTATTTCGCTCCGAAGCTTCGCTTGTCTCGCCAAATTCAATACTTCCCCGATCGCGTATTGCAGCGCCTTTAAATACACATTATCACCGAAACATCCAGAATATTCAAGTAAATACGCGCGCCAACCGACCAGGCGCCGAAAGTTCGAGTGTAGAGCTTCTAGAAAGTTTAGTTCTTCAATTCGATACTAGATGGCGCTGTCGGTTGAAAGATTAGTCATGTCATTTACTGGAAAGCTCTCCTCGCTTTGTTACCCGACACAGATGGCGCTAGTGCCAGACGTCAACTTAGGCACGCAACATTGCCCCCTCCTAAGACATGCTCGTCCCGAGCATTATCGGCCCCATAATAACGCGCCAGGCGATCCACATGGACGATCTTAGGAGTCCTTCTTGCGCCTTTCTGTATCCGGTAGGTTACATCGTTGATCCTGGTCACAATCCGGTATGTTCCGTCCCATTTAGCTTGATGCTTAGGAGATTTCCCTTTGCTGCGGACTGGATTGTGCAACCACACTAGTGAACCTTCGTCGAACCCTTTGTTGTTCATTTTGCGGTCGTACCGCGAACCGTAACTACTGCAACCTCCCTAGCGTGAGGGGAACGATGATCCTGTCGCCGCCAGGCGGTGCCGTTAGCTGCACTACCTTCTCGAGATCGACCAACTTCCCTTTCCACGGTTCGCTTAGGGCAGCTGGATCGAAGATGGCCCTTTTCCCCACAGCCATAGCACCTAGAGCTTTATCCATTATTGCGATCGAGAACTGCTGTTGCTGCTGCAACCTCCCTGACGCGATGGGAACGAAGATCCTGCCGCACGGCTTCCACCTCCAGTGCCCATGCACTGGAGGTGCAAGACGTCAACTTAGGCACGCAACAATATTAAAGGTGGAAAAATTAAGGTAAGGAATTGATTTTTATGTTTACTTAATATAGTTTAAAAATTTGGGGGGAACTAATAAAACATACCTTTTGATATAATAAAATGTATTGTTGTGACAAACCAGGAAACGAGAGATAGTTTAACTGACGGTTAGTGGATGCTATGACCCATAAAGATCTCTACCTGTATCGACTGAGAATGAAAATGTATATGCGTTTACCATTGAGGACTTAGACGGTATGACTCGTTGCCAATAAAAATGATCTCCGATACACTACACTCACCATAAGAAACATTATATTATTTATTCACCTGTATATTTTTGGTGTTTTTAAGATTGAGTTGAATCGAGTTGATCAATTCGTTCGACAGCTATGTATATCTATACTCGTAACATAGTTACAGCGTGGCTCTACTAACTAAGGTACCTCACATTGTTGTACAAAACAATTTTTAACAATTTTCCTCATATTTATTCTGTTTATCGGTCTATTTATTTCTGGCAGACATTTCTATTTTTTTATTACAGATATCGCCCGCGGCTCTGAAGATGTAATTGTAAACCCTACACAAATCCAACGCCTTATATAAATAAAGGAAGTTAGAAATAATGAACGACTTAAAACACTCAACATATTTCATCCTAATAATTTCTTTGAATAAAAATTAAAATTCATTACTTTAATTAATATTCATTTATAATTAAAGAAAAAGCTGTATGAACCCCAACTAGTTAATTAAAATATGGGTAACAAAATAAGAAAATGAATAAAAAATTTAATATACTTGTCATGTCTCTGAAATACATGGATTTTTCCATTCCCTATATTGAGAGGAAAATATGTCCAACAGATAATATTTAGACTGCTTATGAATTTTTCTAAGCGTGAAAAAAGCTTTTAGAATTCAATCTTAAAAAATATGAAGAAAATAGACAAACGCTACATAAAAATTCTCATAACTCACGGCCAATATCACAAAAATAGTTTGTGAATAAAAATATTTCGTACCTCAACATGACACGTTCCTCTACTTTACGATTCTGTACGAAGTACCCGATTCCACGTGATCAAATGTTACGCACTCACCTGCTTACTTTAATCATGATCCGTTGTTATTGATATAATCTAAAAAAACTGTGTGCCATTTTACCATGTCAAGTAAATCAGCACTTAAAATCGCAATTAAAAATTTCATTGTACCGGCGGGGATCAATCGCGGGTTGCTCCCGAACTGTGAAATTTGCAGCGAGCGCTAACCATCTGAGCTACCACGCCACGGCTCAAATTATAGTTTAAAGCTTAATTTTAAATATCTGAGGCCTATGTCTAATAAAAGACAAAGCTACTATAAACTGTCCCTATATAAATATAAAAAGTCTTGTGATGTAAAACCTAATTTTCAGATAAAAAGCAATTAGTTTACCTTATTAATAATTATCTAAGTAGACGATATACTCGTATGTGTATCCCGATACGTCTAGAAGTTGTCTGTGTAGACATCAAACGGTTAGAAATTTTTCAGACAGTTCTTTTGTTCGCCTTTTTGCACAGCATAGTAGACTGTTATTTTGAATAGAACTATCGATTTTACTGTCATCAACGGGCATCGCAGCTAAGAACCAAGTTTTATATTTTGTTCAAAAACCAACTATTTCAAAATACCATAAATTTCGCAAGTTGGCACGTGACTAACGTTTCGTTCTTCGAAAGCATTTTCAGAACGAGTACGTTACTTAAATAGTATTTATTATTTTATGCAGAATAAAACTTTCTAAAAAGCTTTCTAATAAGCAATTCTTCAAAAAACGTAACCATAAATTATTAGTCCATTATATGTTCAGATTATAGAGCAATAAATATGATATTACTTATAACAAAAAAGATCAGAAGATATTTTTCGTGAACAAGATCATGAAGTCACAAAGTTACAAACAAAACCAGAAAGGGAAAAAGTTTCATAGAGAAATCAATGTATT